GCAAATCAGAATTCAAAAAAGATAGGAACAACAAAAGCAGATATAATAGAAAGTGTAAAACCTGGGACAAGTAGACCTAACAGTTGTATGAGGAACAGAATACTCACATTCCACATTTATTACCAAAATAGTGTTTATAAAATAAATATGCCTGAGTCATCCACCTTGGGTAAGAAAGATAATATATTACAGATTACATATAGATACTGAAAAGTGCCAATAATTGGCATAAATCCAGTATATTTAACAAGTTATAAATGTGAAAATATACGTTTCAGGAGATCTTAAGCAACTTATATATCAAAAAACGACTGTAACACCTTGTCTACAGCATCTTCACGGATGGATGAAAGAACCCCGAACACAAAACACATCATTGGGAACATTAGATCTGCCTAGAGAAAATACATTGCACATGTCATCATTACCGCAAGACTGCGATTTAGCTCGTGAGACGTAAGTTGTAAAATTTCACATGTGCAACTTCATAATAACTCATGAAATAATCTGCTTTTCATTCTAGCGTAAGTCTCTCGGGCCGTATGACTCAGACTTATACATTGAATATAAAGGATGAAGTGCATAATAAAACATATAAGTTGAAGTTTCCTGGCACACATACTGTGTTAGAAGTAAAGTCAGGTGTCTATTCGTTGATAGACGTGCCTGTACGGAATCAACAATGGAAAGGTTGGCCTAGTTCACTGAAAGATGACACTGTAGTATTGGCACAAAGTGGAATCTGTTATCCAGAGCATGATTTGTCTGTCGGAAAGCTTCCGGCCAAGGAAGAAAAGAAGGTAATGTTTTATTGGAATTATAATTCTCTATAATACAATTTCCTATAAAATACTTTGTGTTATTTTATTAGAAGGTTGTAAACTTGGTCGACAGCGACAGTTCTATAGATGAACCAGAAGATGTGGAAGAATTGGAAGATATTACGGAATCGTTTAATGTTGAGGACGACATTTTCATAGACGATGTTAAATCTACTAAAATAGAGCGCCTCAGTGAGTATATTAAATAAAACAAAAAACTGCTCTTTTATGGAAATTACAAGATACACACGTAATATTAATATTATAATCCAACGGGACGTTTTTCTCTATAAACAGTGCCAGAAAATGTAGTGGACGAGATAATGGGTACGTTATATTTCGCGGAGCAGTTCGAAAAACGATACGGACCGGCTCATCCGGAATTCTTTGCCGGTACATTCGAGGATGCATTGAAGGAATCGTGTCTGAAACCAGCGAAAGAGGTTTGTTCTGAATCTTGGTGTTGCACAAGTGTGACAAAGATTTGAGATATCCTAAGTATATTTGTTCCTTATGCCATATATGTCGTTGCAGAGAAAACTATTGGCTATATATTTGCATCACGATAACAGCGTATTAGCAAATGTCTTTTGTACTCAATTATTAGGCTTCGAAACGGTGCTCCAACTTCTTTCAGCAAATTTTATAGTGTGGGGTTGGGATATCACATTTGAATCTAACAAAGAAAGGTACGAAAATATAATGTCAAGCATTAGCGGAATTTGTTTCTTTTTATACATTCATTTGGTTCTTAGATTTCTCTACTCTGTAACTCAAACACTTGGTACTGTTGGTTCATTGGCTGTGACAAGTATAGACGTTGATACCTTGCCAGCTCTCATGATCATCATGAGATCTAGATCTAACACAGAAATATTTACTATTGTACACGGTAACGTGGGAGTTAATGAATTACTGACAAACTTGGTGCAAGCTGTTGATGTGTTCCAAGTAAGTGCACTTTGTACACCGTTGAAAAATATTTTGATACAATTTTAATATAAAATTTAAATACAAAGATATAACGTTGTGAATTAGAAAGCTTGATAATAAATAATTATGATCTCTCGATATTTTCTTTAAGGATAAATTGTCTTCAAATTGGTCGATAAAGATTAATTATATAACAAATAGAACGTCCACAGTGGTTCTGGAATACCTAGTATTTTAATATGTAACATGTATCTTAATGTATAATCACACGTGTATGACTATAAATTGTAGTTTACATATAATTCTTGTTCTTAAAATAGGAACAAAGGCGGGCTGATATTGGTGTTGAAGAAGAACGACAAGCCAGAGAAAGAGTCAAACAAGAACAAGATAGAGCGTATCAAGAAAGCTTGGCAGTTGATAGGTAACTGAAAACATTTGATTTATTGAATATTTAATGCTCTTATGTATATGCAGATAATGACGAATATATAGAATATGCATAATACACATTCCTAATTATATTTTTAGAGCAAAAGAAGAAGCAAAACAAATGCAAGAACAACTTGAGAAAAAGAAGAAAGAACAAGCTGAATATGAAAGGCTGGCTGAAAATGCGAGGAAAGAGGCTCATAGGCAAGCTGTAGAGTCCAGCTTACCACCTGAACCGCAACAAGAAGCGGGTGATGGCGTAATGAAAGTAAAAGTACGTTTGCCAGCTGGAAAATTTCTGGAACGTAAATTTCAGTCGGATACACCGTTGCAGACGCTTCTTAATTTTCTCATTGTGGAGGGTTATCCTACAGAGGAATATAAACTCTTGTCTAGTTGGCCTCGAAGGGATGTAAGTAGATGATGTAAGCATTTGAGTTCTTATCACATAGATATTTATTTGTATGATTCTTTATATGTCGTTTTCTCTACGAGTAAATTAAAAAGGAAAAATTCCCTAAGGAAAAAGACTTTTGTAAATACGTTGCTGGGAATATTTTAACGATTTATCAAACGTATTTTGTATTTTTGTTTCAGTTAACATCTATGGACTCAAAGCTTACTCTGATGGAACTAAAGTTTTGTCCGCAGGAAACAGTAATTCTAGAGGAACGATAAAGAATATGTAATTAAATTCAAATGTAGGAATTAAGTGTCGCGTTATTCTACAAATGTATTTATTTAACAACCTCGAGATAGTCAGCATTATATTGAGTTCTGTCTACAATTAGATTTTTACGCTGAACTTATTCCATACAATTAAATCGTATGTCGAATGTAATTTTGTTTTATAAAAGAGAGAAAAAGGAGACCGCTCTTTTCACGCATACGTATATTATACACTTTAAATTTCCAGAAATAAATTGGATGCTGAGAAAAATTACAATACAAAATTTATTAAATACTGTGATAGGCAGCCTGCATAAGATGATGGATTGTTTAGAATAATATTCAGAATTGCATTTTTGAGATGATCTTTGAAGACTATGTCTACATTTTCTTTCTATTGCCTTTCTCAGTTACCTGTCAAGTATGTGGGGTTGGCGATAAGCCTTGGACCGTCAACTTCATAAGACCTGCAAAATTCTTAATTTATCGAATTAGTTCACCACACATGTTATATTCTATATATGATTTTATGTTTTTATGTATGCTACTAATGTATTTACACATTATTATAACAAAATATTAGTTTTAGTAAAAATTTTTCACAAATTGAGAATAGTCCCACAGGTCTTATGGAGCTGACGATCCTGATGCTACTCACTAATTGCACGCTCGACAGATAATCGGAAAAGGCAAAAGAAAGAAAATCGCCTCGAAAATGCAAGTAATTCCGCGCATGAGCAGTAGTTTAGAATCGAGAAAATTCTTGACACCACGGGGATGGATATATATATATATACACAGGGTGTCGCGTCACTACCGCATTATCTCTTAAGGGCGGATTTCTGAGGTAATGATTTAAATAAAAAAAAATTCTAATACAAAAATGGCGAGGCTATAATATTTTTCAAATTATAAACGATTAAAATTGACCAATTACACTGTCTAAAGTACGCGCGCTCAGGTACGGTACAACACACAATAGCACAGGTGCATGCACATGTCATCCTTTTTCTAAATATTGATACGGAAGTTCTATACATACAACAATATATGTAATAATAATTTGCCTTTTCTATCATTTAAATAAACATCGCAAATAATAACAATTTCGTCAAAATGTTATGAATAAAATATCACACAATACATTTATGAGAATCAGTAAGTTGTCACACATTTGACGTTTCTTTCAGGGATTTACAACTAATTTCATATCTAATGTAAATTCTCACTTATGTGCATACACCTGTATTATTGTGTGTTGTACCGTACCTGAGCGCACGTACTTTAGCCAATATAATTGATCAACTTTAATCGTTTATAATTTGAAAAGTATTATAGCCTTGATATTTTTACATTAGGATTTTTTTCTTCAAATTACCTCAGGAATCTGTCTGTAAGAGATAATGCGGTAGTGGCGAGACACCTTGTGTATGCGTATGTGTATATATATATATATATATATATATATATATATATATATATATATATATATATATATATA